AGGGGTAGCTGGGTTACAGCATGTAAAAGGAAAAAAACAACCCCACAAAACCATCCAGATGCCAAAAGGATGTGAATTTAGTAGAGGAAGGCTTAAGAAAAATCAGTATCTAGAAGTGGCTTCTATTTCAAATGGTGAATGAGTAAGGAATGGAACAAACTGCCCGTGGGAAGTGGCAGGTTTTTGTATCGTTGTGTTTTCAAACCAGACCCAGGTGCCTTCCTGGAAGAGATGCTTCAGCCAAATACAGTTGGCACAGGCCAGATGAGGTGATCCAATGGCTTGTTGTGGTCCTGCTCAGCTTGAATCTGTTCTAAAATACTGTATTTAGGCCCCTGAGACATAGGAGGTTACTGGGTTTTGCAGGAATTCCTCAGCAGAGCTGGGAGTTGATCAGACCTGTAGAGTCCCAGGTCAGTATCTTGGTTCCTTTTTATATGTTTAAGTGACACCTCCTTTTTTTTTTCTTTTTTTTAAATTTTGAGTATATATCAGGGTTATCAGAGCATGTGATCATAGAAGAGAGGCACACAGGTAGCAAAGGACAGTTCGGCCTGCAGTTACTGTAGTAAACACTAGTGTAAGGGCAAATGTGTTCCTGATGTTATAACCATGGTAGAATGGCTAAAAGGAAATAATAATTTGGTAAACATGTCAGATTCCTTGTGATTTGTCAGTTGGAACAGTTAAAACAGCTTATTAATATAAGGCTTGATTCCAAAAGGCCATGCTGCTAAGCAGCAAGGCAGTGGACCAGCCAGTAAGTAATTCTGTGCTTTGTACACAGTTACGTGATGAGAAATAAATTTCTGATGCTTGAAGAGCTCCTGGCTATAAAGAAGAGTGGGGAGGAGCAACGGTCTGCATTGGCAAACTACTATAGCTTACTCAGCTCTATGAAGAGACTTTTGGGCTTACTTTTAGGTGATTTATTGCAGTAGTAGGAATATGGTTGCAGCCGTGATGGTGTGAGAATGTAAGTAAAGAAAGATTTGCAAGGGCAGGGTAATATCAGTTGATTTAATAGAAGATGTACTTGCAAAAAGGAACAAGCTTTTGGGTACGCCAGCTCTTCTTCAAGCGTGACTTTCATGTCTCTCCAGGTTTCAACAGCAGTGTCCTGGATGTTTTAACCAGCTGCACCTCAAATCTTTAGTGTGTTGGAAAAAGTCTAGTTGATACTAATGTTATAGATTGCATTGAGATAAAGAGCTTCCTAAAGCTCAGTGGGCAGAAAGGATTCCAGAGGCTACTTGCTTTTTCAGTTTTGTAGTAAGTACTTTGGGTGTATCAGCTTTGCTTATATCAGATACTGAAGGTGTGTCTATATATATATGTACGCGGCCGTATTCAGAGATTAATCCTGAGATATTCGGCATTGCCTGACAAAGTTGTGGTTAATTCTGAGTGCATTTGGCAGCAGTTCCTTCACAGGAGCAATTCAGTGCTGCAGTCTGTGTTGTAGCTGCTGCTTCCAGACATTCTTGGTTTATGGTTTGTTTTTTTTTTTTTAATTAGGCTAATTTTTCCTTCAGTACATATGTATTTCTTTTCTTCAACATTATGAATAAAGTATAGTCACCCTCTTTACCAGGCAGCTTCTTGCCCTGCACTTGTTTTCCCCCATAGCCTCCTAGATTGAAGATAGGCATTCCTCACGTCATGGCAGTATAGTTTTTAACCTGAGACAACCATCTTGCAGACTTTTTTCATGTTGCTTCGCTGGGAGCTTTTATGTGGCACCCTTGCAGTTCTCTGTGTATATGTATCTCCCCCCCCCCCCCTTTGGTTTAGTCTGTATTTATTTTAAAATGGTGGCTAAAAAGAAAAAATAGAGCATGAGGACAGCATTAAAATATACTAACCTTTATTTATTACTAGCTGCTGAGATTTGGTAGCACAGGTGGTGGTCTGCCAACTTCTGCTCTTTTTTCCCTTTCAGTTAGGCCTGAGAAGTCCTTGCTAACCAGCAGAAGCCTCTCTAAACTTCTTGGACATTTAAGCGTGTGAGGGGAAAAAAGGTTGATTATCTGTTTGTACGGTGTATAGAGATACTGATATATGAAGTTCATATATCTGAACTTAAATCCTGTAGTAAAAAATGGCATTTCAGTGTTTGATTTCCTGAAAAATTGGCGTGAGTAAGGTAAAAGTTGTAAATATTTTCAGTGTGGTTGGCACTGAAATTGGGAAGTGATCTCAGGAGCTGGTGAGGCTCTTTGAAAGATACTTGGTTTCTTGTTGTTAAGCATGAAGTAGGTGCAGTAGTTGCCCTAACTTTGGTGGTTCTTGGCTAGTAAAGGGGACCCTTTGTCTTCTTTGTGCTTTTTTACTTAAGTGTGTTGAGGAGTGAACCCATTTAAGTGCTATGCTTAGTGTGGCGTTATAAAATAAAACTTGAAATCTGTAAGCTGAATTTCAGCAGCCTAATAGCTTACCTCTGCAAGTACTTACTAGGGTGTACACTGTTTCTTTTTTTTTTTTCCCCAGCAGGTAATTTCTAAACTGTGAGCCTAAAATATACCTCTATGCTGGAAATAACATTTCATATTACTTACTTTTTCAATGTAGATAGACCTTAATGCAATTTGCTTCAGTGTTTTCTTTTACTGTGCTCACACTTGGGCATTTGAAGCTGATTAAATGCAGCATACATCAACAGAATTCATCAATTTTTAAACGAGCAAACATTTGATCCAAAAGATGTTGCTCTGAGAGTCAGTGAACTCTAGTTTTGGCAGAACTGCATGAATCCTGCGGCTAGGAATGCTCTGCTGAATGTACTGAACTTTGAGTCCCAGAAGAGCGCACCGGGAGCGGGTTTGGCCAAAGGTATGATGTCAAATTGTGAGCCCCTGAAGTCACAGCAGGACAAGTCACTTGGGAGTGGGGTGTTTGAGCTTGACTGACAACCCAGCGTGAACTGCAGAAGAGATGTTCTAGTATGCTAGGGTAGAGAGAGAGTGTAGTAGTATTTGGTAGTCACCCAGTGTCTCTCACTTGCTCAGCAGATTGTCTGTGTTTGTATAAATACACAGCAAAGTGGACTGCTAAGTCTGATTCTGCTTCTTCTGTGACAGGTGACTTTTGATACAACCAGACATTTTAGTGAAGGAGCCATAAGAAAGAGAAGCCTGGAAAGACTAAAGCTGCAAGAACAGGAGCACGTTTGAAAAAGGGGGAAAAAAGAGAGGGGGTTGAAAGGTGAGACTGTATTTTTAGAGAATGTCTCATTTTCTTGATATTTGTTACGCTATCTCATACCCAGTAAAATCCAGGAAGAGTGGCTACTGTAAAAATCCAGGCTTTGAGGAAACAGGAGTCCAAGAACTTGAAGCAAGAATATGTAGTTTTTAATATATGTGTTACTGTCGGAAAGAAAAGCATCATGATAATTCTGTGTGGGGTTATGAGAAAGGTTGGACTACAGATGTCCTGGGGTCCCTTTCAGATTGGATTATTTGATTCTGTGGGCCTGGAGTGGAATTGGAGAGCTGTTGCTCTCAAATTGCTCTGAGGCTTGATTGCTTGAGATTCTGCATGTGGGCTTTTTGTATTGCTCTGTGCTGCAACATCACAAATTAATGTCTTTATGCTCTGAAGTAAAATGAATGTGATGTATATTTCTAGGTGCCTGCCAGTTGACTGGAAGGTCCAAAGCTAGAGATGAACACTTTTTCTGCCTTTCCCTCTACTCCTTTTTATGTGTTACTTTTTAAATAGTTGTTATCTTTAGGGCAGTGTTCTTAAGTTTTGTATACGAGTAATAGTAGTATACTGGAGTTTTAATTCTGTAGATAATGTGTTTGGATGGCATCCTGAACTGTCATGAGTAATTAATCATGTCACACACCTTTGTATCTTAAAAAACCCCCCCAACACTTAGAATGTGGAGCATAGCAAGTCTAATGCTAGGTCTCTGAAAACATTGCTATGCTTCCATGGCTAATACCACCTTCAAATAAATTTCAAAAAAATGTTTTTAAACACTGATTTGTGTGAACACTTTGTTGTAAGGGTAAAAGTGAGAAAACTCATGGGTTGAGATAAAGACAGTTTAATAAGCAAAGCAAAACAAGGAATTTGTTCCCCGCTTCCCATCAGCAGGCGGGTGCTCAGCCATCCCCAGGACAGCAGGGCTCCATCATGCGTAACGGTGACTTGGGAAGACAAACGCCATCATTCCCAATGTCCCCCCTTCCCTCCTTCTTCCCCCAGCTGTATATGCTGAGCATGACATCATATGGTATGGAATACCCCTGGGGTCAGCCGGGGTCAGCTGTCCTGGCTGTGCCCCCTCCCAGCTCCTTGTGCCCCCCCAGCCTCCTCGCTGGTGGGGTGGGGTGAGAGGCAGACAAGGCCCTGGCTCTGTGTCAGCCCCGGGAACGAAAGCATCCCGGGGTTATCAACGCTGTGTCCAGCACAAACCCAAACCACAGCCCCATACTGGCTGCTGTGGAGAAAATTAACTCTACCCCAGCCAAAACCAGCACACAGCTTCAACTTTAATTTTTAGAACGGTGGAATTAGTCTTGTAATATCTCTTAGCATGAGGGTCCCATTTAATTGGTAGAGGAGATTTGTTAACTTAAGAATTGGATCTAAACGATTAGTCTCTAGCTGTGTCCTTGGAGGAAAATGATGATGTGAATGTGTTGTCTTGGCAGTGCTTATAAAGAAAACACTAGAATGCAAACCATTTGAAGAGACAAAGAACTTTCTAAACATGTGCATCAGTTGGATGCATGTTATCTATGTGTCATGTTTTTTTTAAACATGTTATTCTAACAAACAAAATTTCTTGTTAGCTACATGCGGATTCTAAGTGACTGGTTGCTTATTATTAGCACTTCAAAGACTTGCATCCAATTCCCCAGGAGTCAAAATGTAAAACAATTATCATCTAAATTGTCCCATATTGATAATTACCTAGAAAAAGAAGTGGTGATGAAAAGAAGTTCAAGAGAGAAAAAAGAAAGCTAAGCTCGAGAGGAGAGAAGAGAGGCAGATAGATGGAGATGAGAAACATCCCCAAAAGCAGCAGAAGGTACCAGCTGAAGAACAGCAGTGGCCAGAGAATATGCCTGAATGGGAAGAAAGGAAATCCCTGCTAGCTCAGAGAAGAGTGGAGTCTATCAGACTGCTTACAGTGCTGTTAAACCGTGTGAAAGTAAGACTATTTTAAAACATATTTTAAATTTTGAAGGGTATTTATTAGAGCTTGAATAATTCAGTAGACATTTGATGTCTTGGTGCTATTCAGATCAATGCCTTGGGACTGACCAAACACTGAGAAGGCCTGAGGTCTAAGTCTTGTGACAATCCGCTCTCAGTCTTGTCCTGAGAGCAGAGGTAGTGCTTTTCTACCCAGAAACTTTGCCTTTGATGCCTGTTTGAGACCTTGTCATTACTGAGGAAAAATAGGGCTGGAAAGGCTGTATCAGCTCTATTAGACTTGATCCAGTGTTGTGAACAAGGAGTTTTGGGACGAGGATGCAAATGATGCTGTCTGCTTGTTCTGGTCTCAGGTCTGCAAGTGACAGAATTAAATTGACACAGATTATGCCAGTTGCATTTCTAATAGCCTCTCTTTTGTGGCCAACACTAAGCTATCAGTTTTATTTCAGTTTGATTCAGCTGAGGTCTTGAGAAAGTCAGCAGAGGGGTGATACAAATTTGAGTGTTTTGCACAGAGTAATGTTAGGAGGTTTATTTTAAATGCCTTGGGCTAAAGAGTTGTACATGAAAACAGGGGCTTTCCATTCTCAGGGGTGCTAACATGGCTTTGTCTTCACTATTTTGTTAAATAAACATGTTCTTTCAAATTTTAACAAGTGTATGTTTTCCCCAGTCCTTAATGTTAAAGATTTCTAAAGGACTGTAATTTACTAAGAGTTGAAGTCAGAGGCTACCCTTGCCTAGGGCCCCATAACGCCTGACATTGGCCACCTTAGTTATGAAACTGATATGTTAAATAAACTTCTATTTTCTTGGTTTCACCACTTGGAAAGCTTTAGATTGGTTGCATTTGGACCCATTTAAAACAATGTATAACAAAGCCATTTATTCTAAATAAAACATTCAAGCTACAAAAGTGTAGAATTTTACTGTTGCATGCAATACTAGTTGTGATGCTGTGATCAAACAAAGAATATTTTCTTCTGCAGTTGCAGTGAGATAGATGAATTGGTTGAAAGAATTTCTTTCTTGCTTTCTTACTTAATTGAGAATGCAACTTGCTCATATGATGAAATATCTGTAGTTCTAGCTTAGGAATAGTGAGATTGTACGATCCAGCTCTGAACTAAGCCAAACTTATCCCTCATCTCTGTAATTCTTCTGACTGTGGGACTGCTTGCTTATGAGTTTGCAGTTTAGCATTCTTTATAGCGCTCAATAAATGTACATAACAATTTTCCTGATTTTTTTATTTGAAGGATTTTGCGCAGTTGGCAAGTCAAAAAGTGGATCCTTCATTGGGTGTAAGGAAGGACGATTCCTTTTCTGAAACAGCATTAAGAGGCATACATCAGGAACTGATTAACTCCTGCTATACGCACCAAGAGGTGAAACATAAGGAAGAGTTTAAGTGCCTGTTAACCCAAAGAGGTAGCAGCTTATGTAGTGAGGAAGGAGGTGTGAGTAACTTCCATGCATCTACATGTCACATAGTCAGGACGATTTTAAATGATCGCTCTACAGCCCTGAGTTCTGATGGACTGCCTGGCAGAGAAGCGTACAACTCCTTTGGCTGTGGATCTTTACTGATTACTGTTACACAAGACTGCAGGGTCATCGAATCCCTTGATGGAAGGGACTACCCAACATTGAATGTAGTTCACACGCAGACAGTGTCTGATGAAGATGGTTGCAAAAAGCAAAAGGTTTACGAGACTGATGAATTCATCCATTATTTACTAAACTACTATCAGACACCACGCTATGCACGTGTTTGCTTAGAGCCAAAAATCACTGCGAACAAGTGCTGGTGGAAGAGAGTGGTGTCTGATGATGATAGTGATTTTGATATCAGCTTAAGCAACAAACGTGGTCAGCACTTCAGAGAAGCGAGACCTATACAAAACCTCAACAAGAGAAATTGTAGTAGCGATGATAATTATAGACTGGTGATCACTGTTGGGGAACTTGAGTCAACAGACACAGTGTTAGAAAACAAGACCTATGGGGGTAGGTTTGCAGAAAAGTTGCAAGTACAGAGGAATGACTCACTCACTGTTGATAACGTACCACATGCTGGACTGAATCATTCTTTGGATTGCACAGCTGTTACTCATGATAAGGAATTCAAACAAGAAGATGGTAGTGATGAAGGTACCGTACCACACGAGACATGTAGGTCTGCCTGCAGATTAAATGATTTATTGGAAGAGATCGGTGATTCTGAGTACTTTAGAGAGTCATGTGGTGGCTCAATGAAGATAACAGAAAGAAGGTGTGAAGAAATTTACAGCAATTGTAATAAAGGGTGCTTGCCTGCAAGAGCCGGGGAAAGAAAATTACTGGTTTACCTTAAAAATGTAAGTGTGGAAGGTCAAGAGAAGGAAAGCAGCAAATGTAGCTTCTGTTCTAATTCTGTCCATGAGGGCTTGGTGAGGCAGTGTGAACATAGGCTTAAAAAGTCGTGTAAGAGGTCTAGTAGTAAATTAAGACATGAAGGACAGAAAATTGAGAGACAATCCAGGGAAGAGGAGAGAAATGCTTGCAAAATGAAGAAAAAGCGAAAAAAGCTTTCTTCTAATCTTTTATCTGATGAATGTGGCTTTTCAGAGACGGACAGTTGCATGCAGCTGGAGTCGCTCAGAAAGATACAAAGAAAATGTAAGAAAATACTTCACAACAAAGTGAAATTCAAGTCACTTCACACCGCCATGGCAGCACCAGATGTTACCCCTCATGATGGGTCAGAACTTCAGGAGACCCTCCAGACGACAGGTGAGAAGGAGGGACACCAGAACTAAGGTGACTGAATTTGACAGGTCTGTGGCAGGTGAGGTTAGTTGCCACACTTCTTACAGTGATGAATGGTAAGTGTTTTTATAAAGAGTTTTAAGAAGTACAAACATGGTGTAAAAAAAGTGTGACTTGTCTGCAGTTAAAGGTTTGTTCAGTTTAGCTCAGAAACACTATGTGCAGCTGCAATTGAGTAGTGTTTGTCTACTTAATTGGATAGCAAAGCATCTGTTATGGGCATTAGCAGATAGGTGGTTATTCTGTTAATAACAGCATGTGTACTAACAACTCAACATGCTTTAGACAACAAAAAAGTTGTTAGGCACCCCAATATGTGGTACATCTGGGTGGGACGTACTGTCTGAAGTTAGTGAATTTATATATAGGTAGTCATCTGATCTCCATACAGGATTGCTATGTTTCTGGCTATTGTTACAGCTCTTTGGCAATTTATTATGCTTTCAGTTCATTGGCAGATACCTTACAGTTACCTCCGCATGCCCTTTCCCTTGCTGCCCCCCAACAAACTAATTTCAAGTAACTTTTTTGTATACTTATCTACAGGAGATGAGAGGAAATTAATGTTGAGAAGAGAGATGGATGCAGATGTCAGAGGATACCCTCTATTTCCTCTTGAGATCATTCAGACAAATCCCTGTTCAGATGCTTTCTGTGGAGCAGAGCCCAGAAGAGGATGCTGAACAGCTACTCTATAATAGCTCTTAAGTTTTTATATAGAAGTGGGAGAAGAAAGCCCTTTGACCATTAAAAGGTATATGAAATACTGGTTGGTTTTTTGCGTAGGTAATTCCTTTGGTTAGAATATCTACCTGGTGTAGTGAGCCACAAAACCAGAATTTGTGTTTGCCTTTTGGATAACAGAGGACCAAAACTTTCCCCAGGGCCAGGCAAATTGTCATGGACCAGTTGCTAAGAATTTGAAAGGTTACAGAGTGAGATCTCGGAGTGTTATATTCTGATTAAATGTAGGGAATCATGTAAATATCAAAGTTAAAGTATTTAGTAATAATGTGTTATTTGAAAAAAACATAGCTACGTAAATCCTAGAGCAAGCATACGAAGTGCCTCCTGAATAAGATTGTTAGACTAATGGGACTGGAAGGAGTGGGAGACTCAATTGTGGGAAGTAATAGATTTCCAAATATGAAAAAAATCCCATCTTCCCCAAAACCCACACTGGAAAAACGATTGTTTTCTATTACAATTCTAGAGGTGTTTCTGAAAACTTGCTGGTCTTTGGGAGGACGGATTTCACTGAACTTGTACTAGATGTAGTGCTTCCAGGAATCTGAATGACTGTTTAAGCAAAGCTCTGAATGTGGGATAGTGAAAGGGCAATGCTTCTCAGTGTGCCGACAGTCCCTGTGTGTATGCAGGTTGAAAATTTGTTCACAAGATTTCAAAATGTGCCCTTCTGAAGGCACGTGCAGCGAGATAGCTACTTAGTATGAGTTTCCTTACCAATAATTTCCAGAGGAATTGTCAATTGTTGTCAGATTTGTGCTGCATGTAGGTAAAAATGTGAAAACGCAGTCTAGGCGCTTGAGTTATATCCATATTTATTCAGCTGGCTATATTTAGAAGACAGCCACAATTGCTTTTGGACAAAGTCCCTTAGCAAGATCTAGAGGACCAGTTCTAAGTTCAATATGCTGATTATTTCGGCTTTCTTTTTAGTATGCTTTATTTATTACATGTCAATATACTAAGTTAATGTGGTGATGTTGCCTTCATTACATAGAATCTTACCCATGTTTGTAACTTCTGCTCTAATAAATAGTAATAAAAAAAACCAATTGCGGTTGTTCATGGTAGATAGGTTTTCCCACAGTGTTCAATATTGGCAATTCCTACGGGCTTCTAAGCCAGGTTTTATTGATCTTCTCTGTTCACACATTCTGATTTTGAGTGCCTTTTCAGGGTCCTGAATGACAAATGGTTGTTACTCAAAGTACTGTTAATCTATTACTTTTATCTAAAAAGATGTTATTTTCTTGACATAAATATCTTCCGACTATTTTGGAGAACAGTTATGCCCCTCTTAAGTCTCCTTTTTAGTATTTTATACGATTATAATGAGGATCAACTGTTGTATTTGTTGACCATGTAAAATGTTTCAGTTGCACTGATATGACATACCAAGGGTGTTTTTTCTCTATGCAATATTTGCAGATTAAAGATGACAAAACTTCCCCCTCTGTTAATTTATAGACAGTTCTGTGTGCATAAGTACCCATTTCCCATGAGACAGGCCTTTTGATCATGGGTGAGGAAGTATTTCTTTTTGTTAATCTGGGGGAGCAGGAACTAAAGGTTTCCTTTGGTGTAAATTTCCAGTGTTTTTATCAACATGTCACAATGTTCAATAACAAATAAATACACCCCTTCTGTAATTGCTTCTTGCGTTCACCTATATTGATTGAAATTGATAAAGCAAATCCTCTTATTTCCAAGTCCTTGCTCCGTGTAAAACATTGTTAGCAAACTAAATACATGTGCACTTTAAAATGTGAGACACCATTGCAATCTTCATACTGAAACAGAACTTCTGGGTTTCCTATTTGTTTACAAGTGTTTTAATACTAATTTTTTACTTGAACTGTGTCAACATACTTAATTTGAACACCATCCTTTCATACGGTGGACTGTTCAGTATAATTTTTTTAATTATCCTGAGGGCTAATCTTTAAAGATACATATATATACAGTTTGCTTTAAAACTTTTTAAATACGTAGCTTTGTAGATTAAATTGTTATAGGAATAAATGTCACGTCTCAAGTATGAAAGTTACAGAGCATTTAGATAATTAGAACATTTAATAGGTGAAAAGATGCATTAAAAGTAGCATTTATATAGTTCAGCAATGGAAATGTATAATACTGCTGGCATAACTTCACACCCCTCAGTTTGAGCCTGGTGTGTGCTGTTGAATCCGCTGGTGTTTCAGGATGGCTTTTTTTTTTTTATGGAAACACTGTTTACTCTGATATGTATGAAGCAGGGCTCTGAGACTGCAGATCTCGCAATCAAATCTGACTTTCCATACACAACTAATGAAAATGCCTCCTAATGGAGCTAATGAGAACAGGAGTCATCTCAGCTTTGCTGTCCGAACTAAGTTTTGTTATCAGAAAACCACGGTCAGTTGGTTGTACCTCGTGCTGAGTGCTGAAGTCGCAGTCCCACAGGCTGTTTTTAAAGCAGAAATACACAATGCCGGTGGTTACATCAGTCCATCTGCTTGAAATACAAGAATACAGCAATTATGATATAAAGCCCTTTCTTCTTAATCCAGAGATTCCAGGCAATGCATAGAAATGCCTCACCTTTTGTAAAACCCCTTGCATAACTCTACCCATAAGCATTCATTATTGAACTGGTTTTTTGTTCAACTGAAACAGCTTAAGTAAGGGCTAATACAGATGATTAAGAGCAGGTAGAGTCCACATAAAAGAATATCTGAATTTTACAAAGCAGCTGACAGTATGCCAGAACTGGTTGGAAATGAGATGCTACTCGATTGTTTTGATTTGTCCTGTAGCTCCTCACCTACGCCTTTGTGACGCCCATGAGTAACGGGCGTGTGGATGCTTCAGATGAGGGAGATTGTGGAGTCTGCTCTCGGTCACAGTGTCCTCCTCTGTTAATGTATAATCTGTTGAGCTACCTGGTGTGGTTCTTTTTGCTTTGTCATTGCAGCCAGTCACTGTTGGAGGAAGGGATCAGGTTGCAATGAACAGCGAGTAAAAAACAATGCTAAACCCCATCCATTTTCTCCAGCACTTTAGAAGAAAATAAAATCTGTCCCTGCTGCTTCATGAAACCACTACTTCTGTGACTCACTTCTTCCCCTTTCACAATAAATTCTCTTTGTTTTCTCTGAAAAAGTACCAGTCTTACCAAAGTGTAATACTGCCTTCCCAAGAGGCATGGATGCTTAACATTAAGCTTTGCTTTGTGTTACTGCCAGTTTTTTGGGTAGTTTTTGTTACTTTTCTATTAGTTTTTATTATTCTTTGTGATGCATCATGTAATGTATAGATTAATATTTAAAGTAGTGTTCAGTTCCTCAGGATATGTAATGGACTTAATTACAAGTCAGATGGTTGGGTCCACTGAAGGGAGGTTACAGCTCAGCCTAGTTCCGCTATGTGATCGCCTTCCAAAGTGCCAGCTTTTGTTCGGTGTTAACAATTACGTGGGCCTTTTTATGCCTAACTCTGTTTTTGCAACAATGAAGAATGTTGTACAATGTGAACATGTTCTATATTTAATATTCTGTTATTCTACAGAACTGCCGTTACAGGCATTCAGCTAGAATATATTATACTCAATCTATGTCCTGGATAATGTAAGACATGGGAGAAAGACAATATAAAACTTGAAACATGGGGGAGGATTAAGTATTGCATTTAGTTGCAGTAAATAAAAACAAATGCCACCATTATGCAACAGTATTTTATTTTCTGCCTTAAACAAATAAAAGCATGTTTCCGATTTGAGGTAAACCGTTAGTAGTAGTTTGCAAAAGTATAAATGTCTCTAAAAATAAAATAGCAACACAAAAGTCATGACAAGATTTACATTTGTCCCTAGACCTTCATTAGGTAGCTCATACGGTACCACTTCACGGGAGCTATCTGGCTCACACAACCGCACTCTTCATTCGAAGGCCCAGTGTAATCAAAAGAAAATGCCGTGAAAGCGTTAGGACTGAGGGAAAGTTGCTTGTTCTCACCACAGGTGGCCTCAGGCACTTGAGCACGTTGCGACAAGTTGTTTATGAAAGCCGCTGTTGTGCAATGCGCTCTACTTCCAAACAATTTTGCCTCGTTCGCACCTTCCCACTCGGGACTCAGTTCATCATTTTGGTCGTGGTGCCAAACTGAAGCAACTCAGCTGAACAGCCAAACCAGAGAAACTGTATACAGGGAGCTACAGCAGACAGGCACCCGAGCAGTCACCTGGAGAAGCAGCACGTTTACGAGTGATCCGCAAATTGTTAGTTATCTCCTTGGAATTTCTGCAAAACTTTTGCAGAAGTATTTTGGATGATGAAGGAGCACATTTACATTGTTCCTTGGTCAATCTGTTTACCCAGCTGCCTCTGATAGGAGACCAGGTTACATAGTTGGAACAAACCTAGTAATTAAGCATAGATGTGAGCTAAGAGCAAGTAAGTAAAAAGCCATTCAAAGGTCAGGTTCCCCAGGTACAGCGTTGCTGGTTATGCATGAGATTGCGCCGTTTCTTTTAATAGCAATGTTCCAAAGCAACAAAGGCCTCAACACAGAAACGGCTTACACCATGTTACTTTATTTGGTACAGGAAATTTGTATGTTACATCGACCGGTTACATTTTTCTGCTAGTTAAAGCTGCACGTACAAGAGCATTAGTTAATCATGCCATACCAGCAAGTCTTTTTTTTAGGCCTAGGAATCAATAGCAGTTGATCTTCCTTGTTTAATGTCGTTTCATTAAAATCCACAGAAAAGTTTTACAAAGAGGAAAAGTGAATGAACAGTAGCCCAGCCGAATCACACTTCCCGGTGTACCTGGTTTTCAGGGATGCAAAGTTACACTCAGTATCTAAACCTTTGTAACACTTCAGATGTGCTTTAAAAGTAAACGAAGAATATTAATCCATGCATAATTATGCATGACTGAATACATCAAGTATTCATCAGTCCTTATTAATTTTGTAAGTATGTATCTAAAAGTGATTTAACCTCTCAAAAATTCTTACCTTTTTTTAAAGCAGTTAGTGTTTCATCTGCAAGCCGCTATGTAACTCCTTAAAAGCCAAATTATCTTACATAATACTGAATTACACTGCACCACAAATGAGTATGATGCTTCATGGACAAATAAAACATAGTCCCTTTTCTAAAGGAATTACAACCCAAGGCCCAGATCCTGCAGAAGCTAACACAAAACAAGATTTAGTGGAATTTGTGTTGCATAT